ATATGTGTATGGTATTCTAATTAAAAATAGCTACCAAAATCTTTTTGGTAACTTGAAACCTTAAAGTTTTGCTAAGCTAAGTTAAATAATGGAATCTCATTGAATATCTAGGTCATTTCCAAATAAGATGAAACAGTGAAACATTAATTACTGAACACAGGTTTACTGACTCTTCTTATTACAGAGAAACTAAAGATATTTGGGTTTATTAGTAAATGTATTTTGTGCCACATTGAAAGATTGTACTATGAAAAAGTGTATGCTTCAAAATTATGAAATGTATTCATAAATTTGCCAGTCTACGGAATTCTGGTATAAGAATTCACAATTCCTCACTTCTTAGTTTTCACCAGAAGTTAAGGTTGCTAAGGGTTAAGAATTCTAATTAATATATGTAATTAAAGCTACCAGAAATAATATGGGAAACAACTCTGTATGCAAGAAAAGTAAGATATATTTTTACCTAAGAAAAGATATGATGTATGGAGATGCATTTCTGTTGAAGGAAATGAAAGTGATTTTGTCCTAAAGTAAAGCTGGTTATTTCAGAATGGGAAGGTGGAAAATAAAGGATAAACTAAATGTATATAGAAAGTTGAAGGGGGAGAGAAAGAGAATTTTACGTTGTGTAATCAAGCTGGCTGAAACTGAATTGTTATTATAAGGGTATTTAAAATAAGTCTTAATAGTGTACTTATATAAAACTGGAACTTGATTTTCTTTCATCTGTTAAAAGGACAAAGTTCTATTGGACTATTGGTCTTCTCCTGATAAGAAGTTGTGAAAGGTTTTTCTTTACCTCTTAAGTAATCTGCCTAGAAAGCAAAGATTTGGTGTTTTATGAAAATAATTTCCTGTGCTTCATGTTGTCTTAATCAGGTCTTTGATTATTTAAGAGAACTGAATCATCTCAATATTAAGAGATAAGTTTTGCTCACAACTGTATAACAATCTCTATTTCCCTTTAAAATCTTTTATTGTCACTTTGGTTAAATAGACAACCATGTATTGTTTCATAGTGTGATTCTTAGTTAGTCAAGTGTCCAAACTTCTTGATATTTTTGACAAACTTTGCCAAATCAAACTCTAACTAAAGTCTTTTTGACATGGAAGTAATTTGGGGATTTTCCAGAGGGCCCCTGGAACATCTCAAAAGATTTCTTCTCCTTAAAGACAGAGAGATAGAGGCTTATTGATATGTTAAATTATATGGGAAGCACTGTCAAATAAGACATAATACTAAGCCTTCTTTAAGTTGTATTTGTATAGGTATATAAGCATTCCAGAAATTGTATGAAATTCCTAAAATTCTGATATGTCTGGTATAATGTTAATCAGTCATAATTCTAGTAATTACCTTAATAATAACTAGAATGTTGTCTGTTACAGAGATAACCAAATTTCTTTGTCAATCGCATTGTAATGAACTCTAATCAGATCTTTAACCATGGCCACTTTTAAGTCTTTGCCATTTACAGAAGTTATTGTTTTACTCTGATGCTTTTGCAGAAGTGTTTGCAAGTGTGCTTCATCTTCAAGGAGATTCATGGAAAGGACTCTGGCAAGCACAGATTTCTGATAACTTAAAGATCATAAAACTGAACTGAGTAAGAATCTCCAGAACTGATGAAAAAACTGGATTTAAGCAGAACAAGAATTAATAACGGACTGAACGAACTGATGATGATTATAATTTTATGACTTTTTGTCTGAAAAAAAGTTGGTTGTTGGTTCCTTAATGTTTTGTTTTTCCAGATTAAGTTCTTTAATATTAAGGAAACTTTTTCTCTTAAGCTACCTATGACTTAGAGCAATCTGATAAAGTGTACCTTTGTGAATAAGGATGAAACAATTACTTTTTCTCCCTACCTGATCCCTTCAGAATTTGGAAGCTTAGTGAATGTTCTTTATGACAAAATGTTTATTTGCATAAGTTAATAAGAATCTATTCTTCTTGTAACAGGACACAATTGGAAACATTTGTTATATTATCAAAGCTTTGGTTGGAATGTCAGATTTGAGAAGATTCATAGAATCAGATATGACAAGACAGTTTTAAATAATTAAGGCTGAGTTTACAGAGTCAATAAATCCCCTTGGAAAAACAGCCTGGTACCTTGCTTTCAGGGTTCCTGACAGTCTTACCAGGTTAGTAAGGAAAGTCCCTTCCTGGCAGGTACAGGATACTTGGGGGACCTCAAGAAGAGAGGAACCAACTCAGATCTATAAGCATTAAGGCAAAGTCTGATGGAAAGTCTTTGGCTTGGCTTCCTGACCTCTAGATGCTTTTTTTTTTTTTTCCTCTAGATGCTTTTAAAAGTTCAGTCTGGGGCTTCCCTGGTAGCACAGTGGTTGAGAGTCCGCCTGTCGATGCAGGGGACACGGGCTTGTGCCCCAGTCCGGGAAGATCCCACATGCCACGGAGCGGCTGGGCCCATGAGCCATAGCCGCTGGGCCTGCGCATCCGGAGCCCTTGCTCCGCAATGGGAGAGGCCACAACAGTGAGAGGCCCGCGTACTGCAAAGACAAACAAACAAACAACAAAAAAGTTCAATCTGAAATTCCTTATGAAAAGCCAGCAAAGAATATTTAAAAGACCCTACATGGTCAACTGCTATTCTTGCTGCGCTTGCACAAATAATCGGGACAAGTTTATTGAAACTAGACCTATTTTGTGAACAAATTAGTCTTCATTTGGCTATCTTGGATAGAAATAAGGGTGATTTTAGAAAAATTATGTTTCAGTAGAAACTATAATACACACTTGTAGATAAGATTCTAGTTCTGTTAATTGTCTCTGGGGTTTTGTTCTCTACCCGTAAACTGGACTGGATCCTGAATTCTAGTTTCCTCAAATATCCGGCTACAAATCTCCAAACGAATGTTTCCAATTTTCTCCCACCTTTTTGACTTGGAATCACTAAAAACAAAAGCTGCCCTTTTCCCTGAAACCCTGCAAACTGAATGTGAATGGCTTGATATACACTTCAGAGAAATCACCATAACAGCTCATATTTAGACATCGCTCGTGCCTGTTGCTTTGTGGGCCACTCAGAAAGTGTAACTGAACACCTGATGACATCATCAGAGACACTCAAACTGCAAAAGATGGTTCAACCCTAACATAGAGAAAATCTTCTTGACTGGCTGCCTCCTGGGCTCAGAAAGTGGTTTAGAGTCTTCTCCAACCATTAAGCTTTGGTTTTCTTCCGTTTCCATAGAAATGCCTCTTAATAAATACCTGACCACTGGCACTATCTAGGCCTAACTCTGGGAGCACACCTGCAAGACCACCTCCTGAAATGAGACACAACTGTTTAACTAAGCTGACCTATTCTCACTACTGAGACAGGTTCAATGAGATATGGAGCAATTTGTCAAGTCAGCTTCTGGACTGTGAAACTTGTTTGAAGTTTCAAAGGTGGGATGAAGGGGGGAAGAATTTGTCACCCCAAGATATGCCTCTTCAGCAAAAGGATTATTTTAACATGGTTATTTTTAAGAAACTGCAGACATAGGGGAAGCTCTAAAACTGGAGCTTTTGTAGGAGACATGTACATGTATGGGGGAAATCTCTTGTTTGTAAGGGTGTCTTCCTCACTGTACCAGGAATGGTAGATAAGGTAGACAAGGTAAGATGACCTTATCTCTAGAAACTCTTATCAATGTAGAAAACAATTATTTAAATCTGCATAATGACCTTACCCTTGTTTACTGTGCTTTTCCTGATAACCTCCTATAACTAACTCCTCAACCCCAACATTTTCTTTTGCCTTTAGCTGAAGATGGTATTTAGGGTGACAGCTTCAGCCATTTGGGGGAGTTACTCTATTTTCCTGGGTATCTCCCATGTATACAGGAGGCATACATATTATTAAATTTGTTTGTTTTTCTCCTGTTAATCTTCTTATTCCAGGGGGGTCTCAGTCAAGAACCTAGAAGGGGTCTTTCCCTAGAAGGGAAAATTATTTTTCCATCCCCACAATAACATCCTTTGACAATCTAAACAGAGAACACTATGACACCAGAAAGTGATGGCTCTAATTTTTGTTCTATTTTTGAGCAGCCTTTTTAGTTCTGGGATCATTTAAAATGAAGTGTTTAAGTTTATATGTTTGAGTGAGAACGCTTCTAGATGGGACTGTACAGCTCTCAAAGTCCTTTCACACTCTTTTCTCAGATGATCTTCACAAAGCTGTGGGTTAGGTAGGACAGGGGTTATTACACCTGATTAATAGATGAGGAAACCAAGGCTTTAAGATCTGCTAGAAACTACAGAGCCAGGACTCAAGCCCAGGTCTGCTAACACCATATCTGCGCTCTTCCCTCTCCACTCTGTGGCTCTAAACTGAAGATGAACAGAAATCTATTCACCGACCCATCGTGCCAGCTGCCTACAAATTAGGTAAACCATGCCCTCCTCCCGGTTCCATGAATCACCATAGCAAAGAAGACAGTTGCCAGGTTTCGCAAAAAACTAAAAATAGAACTACCATGTGACCCAGCAATTCCACTCCTGGGTATATATCAGAAAATAACAAAAACACTTATTTGAAAAGATACATGCACCCTAATGTTCATAGCAGCACTATTCATAATAGCTAAGATACAGAAGCAACCTAAGTGTCCGTCAACAGATGAATGGATAAAGAAGATGTGGAACATATGTACAACAGAATACTATTCAGCCATAAAAAGAACAAAATTTTGCCATTTGCAACAACATGGATGGATTTGGAGGGTATTCACTTAAAAACTGTGAATCATTGTACACCTGTAACTAATACTGTACCTCAACTATACATCAATTAAAATTTTTTTATTTAAAAAAAAGGGGGAACTCCCTGGCGGTACAGTGGTTAGGACTTGGTGCTGTCACTGGCAGGGGCCCAGGTTCAATCCCTGGTCAGGGCATGGCCAATAAAAAAAGAAGAATACAGTTGCCAGGAACATACAGTTGTCCAGCATGACTTGTCTCAAGCCTGACCCTGATAACTCACCTTGCGTTTGAGGAAAGCATCTTGGTGGAAAAGCACTGCCTGCAGCTCTGGTGAGCAATCTGCTTCTCTGGGCGGTTCTTTGGGCTTCTCTTGCCTCTTGGTGATGACTGCTTCTGATGTTCTGACGTTCTGCCCAGAACCCAAAAATAAAACCTCAGCGAAAGGCAAACATCCAGTCAAATATTTACCAGAGAAATGACAGCAAGTGGGTGGCCTCCTTCCTTGTTTGGGAACACTACTGGCTACTCTTCTGCTCTACCGCCCTTCCCATGCTTTCTCATGCAAAAGCAGGAACTGCCCTCCTAGTTCCTCTCTCCAAGACTCTTGCTGCCTCTCACTGGCTGTGGGCACTGGCTCCTTGAGCTAATGGAGCTTTGCCCAGGAGTTGAGGCCTCTTCAGCTAGCTGTAAGAATTATTACAGGCAATAAAGTAGGACTCTGCCTCAAGGCAATAAACTAGGAAACTAGCACCACTGGCTTCAAGATTCTCCTTGGAAACAGGACAATTTGCTGGGAGAAGTGGCTGGAGACAAGTTCAAAACTGAACCCCACCCATGTGGCAGAACCGGGGCTAGCTGTCCACAAGGAATTCCTGCTCCCTTGCCATAAAGTGAAGCTGTTGCTGGCAAGTACCTGCCCAGCCAGGGGGCATACTCCCCAGCCCACCCAGGAGTCTAGGAATAAACACAGGATCAAGGCTACCAATGGGATGTGAGCAGAAGTGATGTGTGGTACTTCTGGGCTAAGACAGTTAAGAAGCAAGTGTGTTTTTTCTACCCTCTCCTTCCCGCACCTGCTGGTTTAGGACTCAAAGGCCCTAAAGGAATGGGATGGGAAGGAGCCTGAGTCCCTGAATCACCATGTAGAGGAAGCTGTCCTCTACACCAACTGTCCATAAGCAAGAAATAAAGGTCTGCTGTAATAAGCCAGTGGAGTGCCAGCTTGTTTGTTACAGCAGCTGGTGTTGCCCTATAGCTAACACAGCACAGAACGTGGAGGACTTGTGAGCATCATGTGGTCCAAGTTCTTGATTTTAAGGATGAGAAGACGGAGGCTTAAGGAAGGGAAGTACACTAAGAGGACTAGCCTGAGAAAGCCTGCCACGTCCACAGAGCTGTGCCAAGGGTGTGAGCGTCCATGCTGGTGCCATGCAATTCTGTGCCCCAGAGCGCTGCTCACTGGGCCAAAGCTGAGTGCCTGACCCAAGGGCAGCCAGTCATAAACCATATCAATCTGCCATCTGTGATGGACATTCTGTCCAACAGGTCACCTCTTTCAGGAGTCTGACCTTGAGACACAGAACAAGAACTAAACACTCATCAGTGGGACCGAGAACCAAATAACACCCAGAGAGATGCAGGAAGCTAAGGAATGGTCAAGTCCTGATCAGGGCAGAGCATGACTCTTGCTGCTGAGAAGTGTGTTAAGATTTCCCAGTTACCAGAATGGCCCATAGATTCTACATGGCCACCCTGCTCCCAAACGATCATCCCGAGCCAAATGGGAACTAGACCCCAGGTGCTCTCGTCTGTTGATTCACCGCATCCATCAGCTGCCAGGCCAGGTAGTGGCAGCATCACACTCCTATCGCCCATGAGTTGTCTGTGGCTCCTCCCCTTCTCTCGCCTCATTCGTTCTGCCACCTGGCGGCTCTTATCCATCCCTTGGATGTCAGAGGGCTCATTCCTCTTTTCCCTTCTGCCAGCCTGAAGGTGGTGTTCTGAATGGTGGAGCCACAACATGGAAAGAGCCTGGGTCCCTGAATCAACACTTGCGGAGACTAGGAATAGCCATTTGAGAGTTTACACAAATAAGGAATAATCTTCTATTACGTAAGAGCCATTATATGCTTTGGAGTTTGTTTGTTAGAGCAGCTAGTCCTTATCCTAACCAATACAACTTCCTTTCCATTCACATTGCTACTGCTGCAGTTGCAGCCCTCACCACCTCCTGCCTGGACCAACACTAGTGCTCTCTAACAGGCCTGCAGCCCCCAGTCTCCATGCTTAGTGCAGACAAGCATCTCCCTAAAGCACAGCTCAGACTTGCCAAACATCCTCCATGGTCTGCTCTCCCAACCCTGGCTTTCCAAACCCTCCAAGAAGTTGCTTCAACCCTCTTTTCCAGCCTCATCTCCACTGGTTTCCATCTATATTTTTTTCAAAGTTGCTTATCCATCCCTAAACATGGCCTTTCATGTTACTCTGGCTCTTTAGGGAACAAGGAACAGAGATCCACTCGAGTTGCCTGGAGTTAAAGGGGTTTCCAATTCCTCCCCTGCAAGGGCTGGGGCCCAACCAGGGAAGGTGTTGGAGACTGAAGCCACTCTTGGGAAAGGTTCCTCCCCTCTGTGGCCAAGTGGTCTTTCTCTTGTCTCTCTCCTTTTTTGGCCTTTTTCTTCAATCTTTCCTCTCTCTGACTCAGCCCCTTTGCTTCCTTAGGGTTTCTGCTCTCTTGGGGTTTTAACTCACCACCATCCTGACTTTAGTTCATAGTATCCTTTCAACCTCTACCCCCAAAGTCCACTGGCTCCTTCCCAGAGTTCCCCAGTTCTAACTGCTAAGAGAAAAGATCTGCCCCAGTTCATCTTTTTCCCAGGTGGTCACAGCCAGTCTATGCCTTCCTGTCTCTGGCTCAGTCCTATATAAGTTTGCTAGGACCCCCATAACAAAATACCATGTACTGGGTGGTTTAAACCAGAACTTTATGTTCTCACAGTTCCAGAAGCTGGAAGTCCAAGATCAAGGTGTCTGCAAGTGTGGTTTCTCCTGAGGCCTCTCCTTGGCTTACAGACGGCTGCCCTCTCGCTGTGTCCTCACGTGGTCTTTCCTCTGTGCACCTGCACCCTAGCATCTCTATGTCCTAGTCTCTTCTTATAAGGACACCAGTCAGATTGCATCAGGCTGCCCCAATGGCCTTGTTGTAACTTAATTACCTCTTAAAGGTCCCGTCTCCCGATAAAGTCACATTCTAAGGTACTGGAGGTTAGGGCTTCAACATATGAATTTGGGAGGGGACACAATTCAGTCCATAACACCCCTGGTCTAATCAGCTCTGACGGAGTGGGAGGGGGTCCTGGAGGCAGTGAATAGGCACCATAACCGACAATTCAGGCCATCTGTGTTCGCTCACCTTGATCCCTTTACTCCTGCCTAGAACGGCGCCTCCCACCTGCTTATCGCCATGGTTTTTCGTTCATTAAGTCCCACCTCAAGTATAGTATCTGGCGTAGTGTTCTGATCGCCATGGTGTAACCTTACTTCTCTTGGCTTGGCCTACATCTCTTTTATAGCACATATTGAGGCCGCCTTTATTCGTCCATTTAGCACATATTTGTGGAGAAGCAGCCTGGGGCAGTGGTACAGAGTGTGGACTTCGGGGCCAACTCCACCACTTACCAGCTGTAATTTTGGCCACGTTATGTTGTTAACCCCTCTGATCCTCGGTTTTATCTGAGACAAGCTACACCTACTTCATGACAGATGAGGTTGAAATGAGCTAATATAAAATGCTCAGGAGGGTGCCTGACACACAGCAAGCCCTCAACGAGCATGAGCAATTAGAGGGCGCATGCTCTCCACCGAGTGCCAACTGGAAAGTGGAGCAGACGGTCACATCCCAGTTAATTGTGCCCAGGTCCCAGTCCCCCTATTAGATCACGGTAGCTTGGAAGCCAGGACTAGGCCTGATTCGCCATGACGCCTGGGAGACAGGGGAGGCCCCACAAATGCTTGTTTTCAAAATTGAAAATGATGAAGGAAAAACGAAAAAGACAGAGAAATATGAGGATCGGTACAACATAACTCTCTCACTGGACACCTGCAAACAAAGAAACACTGTCCATGTGTTTCCTCTGAAAGCAGGCCCTCTCCTTCCCAGAAGAAGCAGTTCTCGGTACATCCATGCCACGTCATTCAGAGAAAAGAAGTGTAAAGCTCTCCTCCTTCAGGCACATGGAGATGCCATCTCTTCTGTGACTGCTCATCTGCCAGGTGCTTCCTGGCTCCACTGCCCAGGCTTCAAATGCATATTTTAAATTCTTGGATTCTCCTGGTTACTTCCGTCACAATTCTACAATTGCTCTCTTCACACCATTAAGGAAGAGTCACTACTGAATCGTCACTGACTGCCCAGGGGAGTTAGGAAGACGGCCATGTTAAAGTGGGAGAAAAGCCCAGACTCTTGTTCTAAAATGCTTCAGTTCAGCACAGTTTCAGGCACAGTAATAAGGAACCATTTCTAAGTGGCTACCATGCTCCAGACATGGCCTCTTTGAACATGGAGACAACCCTGTGTAATCCATTTCAATTTCCCCCTCA